CCCACAGGGAAGCAACCTGTGGATGCACCACAGATGTCTTGCTATTGAGTTTGTATTTAGCACTGTTCACATTCATCACTGTTCAAATATTAGCACTTTCCAACATCCCTGTCAGGGAGACAGGCAGGGAAGCAAGCATTTCAGTCACCATGTCACAACTGGCAAGTCTGAGATGCCGAGGGACATGGCCTTCAATCCTGCAAATGCCTACATGGTAAATGTCCCTTACACAAGCACCTGCTCCACTGTATGCCCATGAGTGCTCCCAACAAAGACAGTAAAAGATGTCTAAGCATTAGCAGGAATGGGGAACAGCCAGGTTCAGAATTGCACGTTCTCAATTCCCAGCCCTATGCTCATTCCTCTAAATTAGGCCAGTAGTCTTGTCTCCTCTCTGCTAACACCAAAAAAATCTAGTGATAGTTACTGATTAACTAGGCACCTCTCCTAAGGGCTTCTGCATTTTCTCTGTAGTTACTCACCTGGTTAACACTTTTGTGTGTGTGTTGATTACACTGAGGGCTTCCTTAAAGCTTCCACTGTGAATAAGACACACCACTTTACAGTGAAGAGCAGTCACATCATCCTTGTTGATCTGCAATACTGAGGGAAGCAAATAGTTTCAGCACAAATCATTCATTTCTCCCATAAAAGACAACCTGAAGTTAAGTAAAAATGAAAGTTCAGACAATTTCCCCAAGTCCAACCCCCTTGTTAATTCATGCAGGTATTGTTAACTACCTACTGCTTCTAGCATTGCAAAAACCCCATCTGCAGATATAATTACACAAGTGCTTATATTTCATTCCATCCAGGAAGAGGACACACCAACTGCAGAGACTTCCTCAGCCTGATGAATGGTTTTTAAACCTGAAAGCTTGCTAAAAAATTAAGTTGGTTTAATAAAAGATAACAGATTCACCCAAAGAACCTTGTCTGCCAAAGGACTAAACAGCACCTTACGCTAAAGTTTCATTCTGCAGACCATGTAACTGGTAAGAAAACTGGGCATCTTCTATGCTGAATTATCCACTTGGGAAGAAAAGGCAACCAAACCACAAGAAAGAGAGCACCATTCCAGACCTATAAAACAAATAATTACTGGTTCCAGTGCTTTGTTCCCTGAGGACAAAAGCAGTGAAAAAAGTGAAAGACTTTTCCCAAATGACATAAACTGCTGATAGATCATCCAAAGTGAACAGCGCCTCTCGCCAAAACATTCTGAAAAGTATCTGCTCTTTCCCTGCAACGGACTCAGACCTCAAAGTCTTGGTACCAAAACATGGCATGGTAAATAGATATCCACAAAGCCCGACCCTGATATTCCAAGTTTTGGTTTACCAGATGTCAATTGCTCCCACTGGGCCAGTCCTCTCCACCAGACTTTGATAAAATCGGGACTACGTACATTTCACAGAGACAGCACAAAACAACGTAACCCAGATTCACAGTCTCCCCAGGAATTTTATCGAGGCTAACGGGCTAAATACAATCCAAGCAACCCCCCGATGCAGAGCTACCTGGGACCTAAACATTCATCTTCTCAACCTTGCTTCTCTTTCCATCAGCTTTTTCCGCTTTTCTTTTCCCTTTCTCTCTCTGCCAAGGTCAACCCAACCCTTAGCTCTGCTCCAGCCCAGAAGCTGTCCACAAGAAATGACTACTCTGGATAACACAACCTGCCTCTTGCTGCTCCACGTGGATTCCTTTTTATTACTTGTGCAATGGCAGCACCTGTAGCTCAGGGCCCCATCCCATGGGGTTTGAAAGGAATGAGACAGCCTGCATCCCGAAGACAAAGCACAAACCTCATGCTGCAGGCAGCAGGATGAGAAACAAGAGAGAAGGATGCAGGGGTGCACATACACGAGGGTGACGGCAGCCCAGTGCATGAAACAGCGTTCACAGTGGCACAGCTGCCACCAGCCTTTTCCTCCACTTAGGCCTGGTCCAAGATCCTGCAGTCGGATGGAGGGGACCTGAGGACAGACTGTGTGTTTGCCCAAGACGCTGCAGCTGGATGGAGGGCAGCCGGGCTCAGCCTGCTGGGCTCCTGCAACATCTAACTGTGGTTACCAGCCCCCCAAGATGGGGGTGGGGAGGGCTCACAGCTACCCTCAGAGCGTGTCACCTTCTTGCACGTGGCCCACACTGGCTATGTGCTGTCCCCCTTATTTTTTGACGATGGAACAGTGTGGGGGCAGCTCCTGTGGAGCCCAGGCGACCCGCCGCGGGGCACGGCCACCCACACTAGGGGCCTTTTTGAAAGAACGCCCCCGCCCCCTCACGCAGCCTGCTCCGAGCCGGCCCATTCTGACTGGGGGACGGGCCCATTCGGACAGGTTGCGGTGGGGGAACGGGCTGCCCCATTCGAACCGGAGTGTGGAGCGGGCGGGCCCATTCGGCCCGCGGGAGTGGGGGGATGGGATGACGTGGCCATAGGCACGAGGGAGCCTCACTCTTGCTGACGGCCTTGGCAGCACGCGCGTAGTCGCCGCTCTGCCCGAAGCGGCTCACTTCGCTCCACAGTGCGGACACTGCTCCTCCCGCAGCCGCCGCCCCGCCGCCAGCAGCGGCCGCCGCCATCTTGGGATATGGGGTGGGAGATAGAGCGGCGGGGGAAGGGAAGGAGCACAGGTGACCCCTGCCCCGGAAGCGGATGCAGCGCCAGCTGTGAATGGGGTGATAACCGCGGGCCCCTCCCTATGCGTCACCGCGCTCGCACGTGAGGCCTGCCTGGCTGCGGCGCTGGCACCCGCCGCTTGGAGGCTTCCGAGGTGTCTCGGGCGGGGGTGGAGCCGCCAAGCGCGTCCAGGCCCCAGCAGGAAGAAGGCAGCGGGTCTGGGGGCTTGCGGAGCGTCTCTGAGGCTCAGCGTCAAGCTGGCAGATAAAAGGGGCAGGTTGGAGCTGCTCATGGCACCTTTTTGCTGATTCCTTAGCCGTTCATTTGTGCGGAGCGGGGGCTGCTGATGGCAGTGGGGTGTGTGCATCTGTTTCTGGCCGGGGCAATTTGAGCCCTGGAGCTCTGTGGAGAAGCGTAGGCAGGCCTCTTCTGCGTCTGATGGGCCTGGGTCCTAAGCAGGTAACAGAGAGATTAGCAGTTCCAGTCTGTGAGGGGGCAAGTGATACTAAATTTCAATGTATGGGCGTGGCTGGGTTCATTTTTATTTTTCTGCCCCACCCCAAGACACACCAAGGTGAGATGTGCTGCAGAGTCCATCTAACCAGCCCTAGAGCTCTAGCTTGTAAAATGTTGGGCTTGCCATGGCATGCCGAAACCCCTTTGAATGTTTTGAAGTTTTACAAAAGTATCATTAGGATCTGTGTGATATGAAATATGACGTATCCATTCTTCCAGACCGTACTTCCTTAGCTTGCCTAGAAAAATGTTGTGGAGGCCATATCAAAAGCCTTGCTAAAATTAAGGTACACCACATCCACCGGTCTCCCCACATCCACAGGATGTGGTGTACCTTGATTTTAGCAAAGCTTTTGATATGGTCTCCCACACCACCTGGGAAGCCTCCACAACATTTTCATAGGCAAGCTAAGGAAGTACAGGCTGGATGAATGGACTGTAAAATGGATAGAAAACTGGCTGGAACATCACGTTCAGAGAGTAATAATCAATGGCTTGATATCTAGTTGACAGCTGGCATCAAGTGGAGCACCCCAGGTCCTGGAGCTGGTTTCGTTCAGTGTCTTCATCAGTGGCCTGGAAGATGGCATAGAGTGTACCCTCAGCAAGTCTGCAGATGACACCAAGCTGGGGGTGTAATAGATACTCCGGAGGGTAAGGCTAGGATTCAAAGTGACCTAGACAAATTGGAGGATTGGGCCAAAAGAAATCTCATGAGGTTCAACAAGGATAAGTGCAAAGTCCTGCACTTAGGACAGAACAGTCCCATCCCGGTACTGCTAAAGGCTGGGGGCTGACTGGCTGAGCAGCAGCTCTGCAGAAAAGAACCAGGGGGTTACAGTGGACAATAAACTGAGTATGAATCAGCAGTGTGCTCTTGTTGCAAAGAAGCTACGGCATCCTGGGCTGCATTGGTAGGATTATTGCCAGCAGGTCAAGGGAAGTGATTGTTCCCTTCTATTCAGCACTGGTGAGGCCACATCTGGAGTACACTGTTCAGTTTTGGGCCCCCCCACTATGGAAAGGATGTGGACAAATTGGAGACAGTCCAGAGGAGGACACCAAAAATGGTGAGAGGGCTGGGGCACATGACTTACGAGGAAAGGGCGCCAGAACCAGACTTATTTAGTCTACAGAAGTGGAGACTAAGAGGGGACTTAATAGCAGCTTTCAACTACCTGAAGTGGGGGGAGAGCTTTGATTCAGGCAGTCCCTGGGAGCTGCAGCTGACTCCAAGCTGGTAAGTAGGGGCAGGGGAGGGGAACATGGGGGTACCACCACCAGCCCCTCCATGGGTGCCCCCACCCCAGCTCCCGGTACTTTAAAAAAAAGTCCTGGTTCACTGGGTACTGCTGGGCAGGGGGGCAGTCCGGCACTCTGCACGGCAACAGCCAAATCTCCGAATCAGATTTGGCCGAATTGAATTGGGATGGTGATTCGAATCACTGTCCTCTGAATCAGCCGAATCTGAAGTGAATACTAGTCGCTTTGCACAGGCCTAGTAACAAACTATCTATTTCAGTCTTTTCCTCAAAGATTTCTCTATGAGTTTAGATGCTCATACATATCTGATAGAGGAGATACCAGGAGCCCATTACACTCCAGGCAGGTTGACCCTTGTGAGCATAGAAAACTTGACTGCACAATTTTGTGGTAATGGGAAGCCAGGTTCATTCTTTCCCCCTGGCTTGCTCCACAGCCTTTTGGCTAGGTACGAGACTGGGGGCATCCAAACCCCAAGGTGTCTGCGCTTGGGGCTTGTAGGTAGGATGTCTGCTATGGATTTGGGGAGTATCTGAAGCCCCAGACTGATGGGTCTGGAATGAAAGATACTTCCCTGGTGGTAGAGCCGCACAGATTTGAACAATGGAGCTCTGCTCAGTTGAAATTTGGAATTTGACTACTGAGCTTTGCCCAATAGAATTCAGGATTGATTTGGCCCTTAAAAAAAAAAAAATCGATTTAATCTCCCCACTCACAAAAAAACCCAACCCCCATGGTATCAGAATTTCAAGATAGACTTCCTTAGCAATCCCATGAAGTACATGTGGTCAGAGAAGTAAAAGTCTCAGGTATTTTGGGGGAGAATAAAATACACTTCCTTCAGTATCAAAGATAATCCTGTGAAAAGATGATGGGGAAAACAATGTGTGTGTTAAACATACGTTACTTTTTTAATATTATTTTCAATAAAACACCCATGACTGAAGCTGATATTTAAAATGTTTTATTGTTTCATCAAAAGTTTTTTCTATAGAAGGATGGCAATGCTATTTCAGTGCATATTATATGGAAAAGTCATACCTCTCAAGTGTCTACACTGGAAGTAAGAGAGAGCATTATGTCTAAAGTGTGCCAGATCAAGAACACAATGCTGTGAACAAGATTAACACACAGGAACATACATAGCTGTTAAACATAAAAGATTTCTTAGCCAAGTGGGTAGAACAGTAGCAGGGCAATACATTAATTAGAAAGTTACATGGGAACAGTGCCAAAAAAATTAGAAACCACCTTGGCAACTGGTCAGGTCATTAAAGGACTCTGAGGCTACTACTCTCTTTGTGAAGCCTAAGGCTATACATTTAGCCACTGGTTTAAGAGATTTTCAAAAGGACCCAACTACTTAGATGGACAAGTCCCACTGAAAGTCATAACATTTATGCTTCTAAATCCCTCAGGCACTTCTCAAAATCTCCACAGGTTTCTGGTGAACCTTTGCAGGTGGCTGAAATGCTCTGCACCCTCATTCTGATGTTCTTCTATTCATGTTGTGCTAGGGGTAGAACTGCTCAGTTCTCACTGTTAATATTGTGTGGTTTTAACAAACAGGTACACACCTGTGCCACCCAATCTTTCACGTCTCCATACAGAAATCAATTCCCTGAACATGTGTGTAACTACTATGATTATCAGATGTCACAGAGCTTAATGTTTTGTTTACATCTATACATATCAATTAATCTCTTTTCAAACAAAATACAGGCAAACCTCCTTAAAGTGGACTTTTCATACTGCTGCACCCGTAAGTTAGGTCACCAGTTTTTATCATGCACGCATAGCTGGCTTGCTACTCTTTTGAAAAATAAGTCAGAAGCCTTTCTGGTCAGGTTTACTGTTGCATCAATTACAGTAAAATCTGACTGATCTGCATTCATTCATTGTGCACCACAATGAAAAGTCAGAATAAAATCCACAATCAATTAAAAAACAGACAGGTGAGAGGTATGCAGAAAACTTGCTTTAAATATTGAAAACTACATGTAATATAACCTTACAGAACAAGAAATACACTTATTGACATAACATTGTCTTGTTAACAGATAATGCATGAACTGAAAGACAAAGTCACTGACATTTCAGTCAGACTTGGAGAAACTAATGCTTTGACTATACTACATATTAGTATAGCAATCAATCTTCGTAAGGTAGGCTAAATACCTATGGTTTAAGTGTTAATCTACACTTGAAAAGCCATTTTACTCAATATATACTATGTATAAAATAAATTAAAAAAGGGAAGCGGGAAATATTGTTTCATATATGCTGCAAACTAACATACATCAGTAGTTCCATAAATGAACGTTTTACCTTCCCTTCGGTAAAATGTGAAGAGTTGACACAGACCAAAATGTACAATACTTATATATAGAAACATTAAAAGAGGTCTTAAAAATGGAATTTAAGTGTCAGTTGTCCTTCCCCCACAATGCATTTGGTTTTGCATTTTATAGCATCAAAATTAAATAAAACTCATAGACCATTTGTCGGTCACATCCACACAAGAGCAGAGAACAGGACAGGGGAAAGTGCTCCTTTCAAAGGTGTTTACATTTTGAAATCCCAGAAAATAACTCTGCTTATAGGCAGAGCAGTCACCCAATCCTCAAGTTAACAGCATCAACATTCTTCAGCCTTAATGAGGTCTGAGCAGCAGAAAAAAAAAAGCCTGCAAGTGATTCTTCCTTTCCTTCCCTAATGCCACCAAAATACAACCACCACCACCGTTTCTGCTAACTGAGAATGGTGCCATGTTGGTTACATGATTGCTTAACTTATATCCTTTATGCATCATATTTTAGTCACCGTGGTCAAAAATAAAAGATACATGTTATCTTTAACTTGATATCACTGTTGTTTTTAAAATAAACTTTTAACCCAAAACACATTTAAACATTCTTGTTCCAGCATTTAAATGTTGCATAACCATAAAACAGAATAGGAATAATTATAAATTTAAGTCAAGAGATACTAAAAACATACTATAGACAAATAAAAACAAAGCGTCTTTCCACATAATAAAAACCTTGAAATCCATTAGCAAACCAGAAGAAATAGTACACTTACAACAAACAAGGTGAAAAGGAGCATCTAAAATACTCCCAAAGGCTTGCTATGCTACTTCTCTTTATTGCCCATTCTCTCACTTGTATGGATGGCCACTGAATGACAAGATGTCTATGACAGTTCTCTGCTAAACTCCTCTCACCACTGCTGCCAGCTGAAGTCGTCATTGCTGCCAAAGACCAAGAAAAATCCTAGGATGGTGGCAAAAATGACTGTATTCCCTGTGAGGACAAGTGCACATGCACCCCATAAAATCTGTGAATAACAAAGATGTAGTTATACATACAGAAAATTAAAGAGAAGCAATCAAATACTACAAAAATAACAGTATTTGTAAATATTGGAAGTGCTATAGTTCAAGCACACGGGTGTTTTTATCACATCCAGGCCTGTTCAAGGTTCAGTAAACACATCTGCACCCTATTCTACACTGAGACTTCTGCAGTAGCTAGATTTGCTTAAATAAGGCTGCATCTATCATTATCTTGGGTCATGGTAACTAAGAAGGGATTTTCAGAAAGCTTAAGGGAACTGGGTGCTCCAAACCTATTAAAATTCCATTGTAGTTTGGTTTCTTATTCCCTTGGGCTTATTTGACTGTTCATGCTAATGCAGAATTCCATTTAGGAAATGTTTTAATCTTGATTTTCCAATTTTCTTAATGTACTTAAAGCAGGCAAGGATCTTTTGGAGAATATAAATAAAGCCATGCAGGGTGAAAGGGAAAGTTAGTTAAGGAACTAGGGAACTGTAAACTGATGAAAATCAGAACTATTGGCTTCCTTATTCATTGTTCTCTCTGCTTTCTATTTCATAAATAATCCTGAAATCACTCAGTATTATTCTAGCTTTATTTGCATTGGTGAGTTTTTATGTTACCAGTCTCCATCTGAGTTTGCTCATAACGCGTATGAAATTCTGGAGGCTTATTTTCTCACTGTAAAAAGCAAGTGGGTTTTTGCCACATTTCTCTGTATAAAATGTTATTTTGTTCTTGGACGCAGTTTTTTAACTCCACATACATTTTAAACCTCTGAGCTGAACATTAAAATTGCTAAGTGTAGTAAAAGCATTACACAATGTGAAAACTGTTAGCAAAGAACGTGTTCATAGATGGAAATATTACTAACCAATTCTGCTCTGGCAAATACTATAGGGAGCCCAAATGCTGAGACAACAATGCCTGTTGTAAGAAATATTGCTAGCTCCTTGCAGGCATTACTTGCAGCATCTGTGTCATCTACTACTCTTCTTGCTATGCAGTATGGAATAGGAGAAAGGATGTAAAAAAACAGAACAAACAATGGCCAATATTTGCTGAAAAAGAAAGGAGAAGAAAGTTAAGTTTAATTTCTCTGTAGCAATTACTTCCTTTCACACATCCTATTACACAAGCTGTAAGGTAAAAGTATACCTTTATTCCCCATTCAGACTTGTTTAGCAAAGGCACATACCTACCACTGATCACTACAAAGCATAATAAGAACTTTATTGAATTAAGCAAGCCAGTGGATCACTAACCAGATTTATTTAACCACAGGTGATCATCAGCAAGGACAGTGAATTCCACAGTTAAGGTGGATCTACCACTGAGAACACTTAGTCAAGAGTGCCAGATGTGAACCATTTCCACTGACTTCAGTTGCAATGCTGAAGACAAACCGGGAGGAGCTTCTGAAACTTAATGAGGAGGTCTGAAACTTACATACAGAAATATTTTTATCTAGTTCTGCCTCTACTTCATGGATTTGCATTCAAGCATTTTTTTAGGTCAAGTCCAACTCTCAGACAACACTAAAAAAAGCAATCACTTGTGAAGTGTTTTGACGTTTTAACAATCGAAGTATAACCATTATCATGTAAAATATAATCAAAAAACAGATAGTGTAATGGTTTTATTAAGGGTGCACCAATAAAGATTTTTTTGGCCGATACCGACAGCAGATTATTCCCCAAGCATATTGGCTAATACTGAGCTGATAACTGATTTACAGGAACACAGCCAGGCAGTGTAGAGAGCAGCACCCTGCAGGTAAGTTTGTGGAAGGGAAGGGGAGTGGGGCAGATCCAGGCCCCCATAGTGAGGGAGGGAGTGGGGCAGGGGCTGGGGATGCTGCCCAGTCAGGGCAGTGAATGGGACTCCGGGGCTGGGGCAGGGAGCAGGACAGAGCCACGGGCAGCTTGTCCAGGGGATCAGCGGCCCTGCACTTAAAAATCATGGCGGGGGTGCT